GTAAAATTATGGCTTGAAAAGGGTTCAATATTAGAGAAATTTTTTTAAAATTTAAAAGTAATTATTTTATAATTTTTTAAAATATAAAGAATTTAAGGAGAAGGATGATAATTTAACTACTATTGTAATAAATAAAATTATGATATTTATCAAGAGTTTGACACACCTTAATCAATGTAGTTAAAATGATATATGTGTAATTATTTTATAATTTAAATTATAAACTAATAACATCCACAAATACATATAACCAAATAGTAAGGAAGGGAATCCATTCTTAACCCATGCCGGTCGTATGTCTAGCGTTAATTCCTTAAACAAGTTTTGTTGAGCAAATACTATTGCATTATATATTTATTTTTTTATGTTAGTTATATAATAAGAAGTGATTTTTTTTATATTTTATTTTACTTTACTCATAATTCAAATTTAAAATTTTTTACTTTTAATGAAAAAAATTATTATTAAATTATTTAAATTATTAGTATTATTGCCTTACATTAAACATATTGAAAGGTGATTAAAAGACATAGTTACCAAATAAAACTAAGATCCAAAAAGATAAACATAATAATTTCAATAATAAAGTGAATAAAGTCTAATGTTGTGACTAATCAGCATTGTACATCCCCAAATCTGTTCTCTTTTGATCTGTAATCCTCTGTTCGTCAAAAGAAATACTAAATTTGAAATCTTAAACCGTTTACTTCTTGTTTGTGGGTGGGGGCATATCCTTTAAACTAGGCCGAATATTTTGACCGACTTGTTATACTCTCATCAACTAGATATTTAAGAATTAGTAACATGGAGCCTTAGTGGCTATTAATAATGAATATTTTTTAACAGTAAAAGCATATTTTGATTTGATATTATTCTCATGTTTGGTTTAGTTTGTGAGAGTTTTTAGTTTTTAAATATTATTATGGACGATAAGTTTAAATTTTTATTGAAAAAAAATTTAAAAATTACTTTTAGAAATATAAAGAAATAAATGAAAAACGAGTAAAAAAGAAATTTATGAAAAATTTTGATTTGAAACTTTTGAGTTTTTATTGTTTGAAATCTTTTTAAGGTTAAAAAAATTAAAAATATAAATTTTTAAGAGAAAAATTTAAATTTATGAAACATGAATAGTATCAAAAAGTTAAAACTCCTAGAAGTTCATCCAAACATGCTCTAAATGAAGATGAAGATGCATCTAGTGATTATGCAGGGGTGGTCACAGCTGAGTTTTGGCTGTTATTAAAATTAAATTATTGATTAATTGAATTTTTTTGTTGTTGAATTTAAAATTTATTAATTAAATTGGAAATTTTGAATTTTATTGGGTTTAGCTAATTTTTTTTTTAGAATTATCATTTCTATTGATTTTGGTTTTAACTAAAAAAATATTTCTATATTTCTATGATTTTTAAAAAATTTTAATTGTTATTTTGTTAATTTTAATTATTAAAAAAATAAAATTTATTTCAGTTTAGCTAATTTTTTTTTTAGAATTATCATTTCTA